CCTTCTCATCGGCCTTCCCAACTCTTCCCTTCACAAGCTGCATATCATCCAAAACTCTGCAGCTCATGTACTCTCGCACACCAGGCTCCGTGACCCCATCACTCCCACCCTCGCCCGACTCCACTGGCTCCCCATCCCACAGAGGATTGAGTTCAAGATCCTCGTCCTCACCTTGAAGGCCATCCATGGCTTTGCCCCCTCCTACCTCTCTGACCTGCTGACTCCCTACCAACCTGCCCGCTCCCTCCATTCAGCGGGCTCTGGCCTGCTCCATGTCTCCCGCCCGACCCGCCCTACCATCAGTGGCCGGGCTTCCAGCCTCTCTGCCCCCACACTCTGGAACTCCATCCCACGGTCCCTTCACCTCGCTTCCTCCGTTGCCTCCTTCAAGGCCGGTCTCAAGACCCTTCTCTTCAACCGTTCCTTTGGTCTCCCTCCCACCTCTCTGCCATCCCTCACCCTACACCATCCCTCCCCCATGCTCGGGCCCCGACAGCAGACTGTTCAGCGCTTTGGGACGTCCTCCCGACGTGAAAGGCCCTCTAGAAATGTAACAGAGAGCGTCCTCCAGTATTAAATATCAAGTGCAACCGGGCAATTGCTGCCCAAAGTCATTGCCAACTAATCTGCCAAGAAAGGATTAAATTATACAGAGCCCAGACCCGAAACAGCAAGGAATACAAAGACGGGTCTAATTATACTTATTAGATAGTCAGAGTGCTGCAAAAACAGATATATTGTCACTTGTAAAACCCATGATAATCTATTTCCCCCATTGTGATAATTGTACGTCACAGTAACAATTGTAATGCAGAGAAAACAGGAAAGATGGTTTCAAGGGAGTCTCGCTTTCCAAGATACACAAACGGGAATTCGTTTGACGTGCTATAGCTTTGCCAGTCCATTTCTGTCTTTCTCTTTGATTTACTTTTGTTAAATCAACAAGGGCTTCAGACATTTCAGGGGTGTTGACTTGAAATAATGATAATAATCTTTGCAATTGATATAGCGTTTTATCACGTCATCGATTTGTCTCAAAGCCTTCACAGAATATATTATAAAGTGAATTGACTGTATATTTTGTGGGCGAATTGCGGCAGCCAATTGCGCACAGCAGTGTCCCATAAACAGCCATGGATTGGGTGTCCAAGTTATTATTATGATAATTATTATACTATATTAATGTAGTATAATATAATTACTTGAATTTCACAATTAAATAAAAATAGTTACCGAGTCCAGCAGTGTGTAATAATATAACCCCAATTCTCTAGAGCCAAGCGGAATTTCAAAGAGACATTGAATTATAATTCTTTATCATATCGAAAAGTCTCAAAGCACTTCACAGGTAATTACTGATGAGTGTAGTGACTCTCCTTGTAGACAAACACAGTAGATGTTTTTTCACTCTGCTGTGACTGATCAACAACCATGAAGTCAATGAACATTTTTTACTGGGTGGCTGTTGATCAGGATATTGGGCAAAACTCACAACTTTTTTTGAATCGCAATTTGGTATTTTTAATGACTACCTGAGGACAGTTGGAAAGGACCTGGGCTTGACATCTCATTCCAAAGGCTGCCATGTCCAACAACATAAAGCTCCCATTACACTGCAGTCATGTTAGCCTGGTACTGACGTGAGGCTCTGAACTCACAACCTTCTGACCCAGAGGTGAGACTTGTGTGTCCAAACAGTTTATTTTGGTTTCAAACATCCGGGGAAGCAGTGGAGAGGTTTTCTTTAAACTATTTGCAAAGTCCAGGACCAATCATTGAGTAGAATTTGTGGTAACCATAGAAAGCTGCTGCAGAGAGAGTGGGCTCTGGCTCACTGACCTGTCACTGGAGACAAAGTCGGCTTCATGCCTATTTATCAAAGGCTCTCACATGAGATCCCTGATTAAGCAGTCTGTGTTGAATGAAGTAATAATACTTGCATTTGATATAACTCCTTTTCAGTTGTTGAGACTTCTCAAAGCACATCGCAGGATACACTGTAAAGCGATGTGGCTGTCAGTATCTTATGGGCGAATTAACAACAACAACAAAATTACACTTATAGAGCGCCTTTCACCTCGGGAGGATGTCCCAAAGCGCTGGTGAATTAACCTGGTATGGGGCATTGGATTTGGATCTTGAGAACATCAAGGTGGCTAGCACGTCGCAAGTTGTTCTGTGAAGGTCCTCCCACTACATTGAAAGCAGATGTCCATCAGATGGCTGATGAGGAATCTCTTGAGGCTTGGGAAGACAGCATGCTGGAAAGCGTTACCTGGAGACCAGGTTCATATATCCAGAACTTGGAATCCACCTTGTTTGGCCTGTAGAGACGTAAGCAGCTTTCACTCAAGCTTTGCACCTCCAACTAGTGTAACCATTGCTCAATGGGTAAGAATGTGTGTCCGAGCTGTGGGAAGGAAGATGATGGTAATGCTTTCACACTTAGACCTGGTTTGTCCACCGGGAAGCTCGCAGAGAAGGCTCAAACCATGGGAAGAGGAGAGGTAAGTGGGGTCTCCTTGGGAACGAGCTGGCTCCAATGTGATGTGTCTGGCAGTGGAATATCAGAATCAAGTTAACTCTTGGGGGGAGTGGGAGGGGTCTTGATAATCACTCTCGTGTGCAACAAAACAGGAAGTAAATGTTTGACTAATTTAGAGTGAAAGCTAACCAGTGCATGAGAAGTGAGCTGGCCAGCTGCACGCATGAACAGTGAATTGAAACCACATTGCATCTGTGTTAACAAATATGTGCTATAAAGAAATACCTTGGTTTTTTTTACAGAGCTAGACTGTGTTCTGAAACCTAGACATGATGAAGTCATCATGGTAACAATAGACAAGCAACGATACCAATTACAATTCCTGTATCAAAAGTAGACTGAACACCAGACACTACACAGAATAACAACAATTTCTGTGAAAACGAATGAAGTTTAATTGTAGCGTTGATTCATTCATTGATTCAGAGCACACTTGATTAGGTTTGAAATCATCTGCTTAACCCTATTAACTGCAGGAAAAATAATGACCACTTTGAAGGCAAAAGAAACAGTGGAAATTGCCAAGTTTGCCGGCAATTTATCTCTAGGGCCATTTTAAAGTTGAAAAGCTAGCAAGAAATACCCTGTACAAAGTAACCAAGTTAAAAAGAAGATTACATGCAAAATTACTATGTCAGGAAGTGGGTTATATCAAGGGAGAGCTGCATACAGTTGATGCTGAATTATTCCTGAGTTTAGGATTGTATCTCTAACAGTGATAATTCAACTCTCCTCCAGCTGGGTACAGTAACTCTTTCACACCATATGCTGCTCCCATTATTAGCACCCTCTGTTTGTACGAGTAGGTTTTAGCCTGATATTACAATTATGCATTATCTATAAAATGCAATCATTACACTTTACAGTAAATCCTGTGAAGAGCTTTGAAACCTCTTTCCCGACGTGAACGCTGCCATATCAAATGTGAGGATTATTAATATATTTCCCTTATCTGCTTTTCTCCCTGCTCTATATTATTGCCAGGTCTAATTAAGCAGACACTGCCAGCGACTAATGTTAGCAGGAGAGAAAGCATCACTTTTCTATAATTTGATGTTAAGAGACTGGAGAAGCAGTGATGATAGAACTTGACTGACTGAGGTACATTTTTCAAATGATCAGAAATGAGAAATTGTACCTGCTACTTGAAATTGGCTGAGCTTATTAAAAGTTTTGAAGCTTGACTTATTAAAGTAAAATAGAATCTTAACAGGTAAGCTGGTGTCTGACATACTCCGAAGCCTCTTTCACACCGAGTCACACCAGTTCCAGCTTACCAAGAAATCTCTGAGCAATCTGCCAACACCTCACCGAGTACAGGAATCACTCACCTGGTGATACTCTGCTCTTATACCCAGGCAACACTGGTGCCGGTTGGCTGAAGCAAAAGCATTGGGAACCTAAAAGTGGAATTGGCCCAACTATTGGTGTCAGCCCAGCTCAGATGGTAGGCACGCTTGGCTGTGAGTTAGAAGTTGTATGTTCAAGCTCTAGTCGGGACTTTGAATCATTGTCCAGGTTGACCCATCAGTATATAAAAAAAGTGCTGGGGGAGCACTACATTGTCAGGGGTGCCATGCTTCAGATAAGATCTTAAGCTAGTCCTAATTTGGGAGGCCATGTTTCGCTCATAAAATACTCAGTCAATCCATTTTACAGTATATCCTGTGAAGGGCTTTGAGACGTCTTAATGATGTGATAGGCGCTATATCAAATATAAAGATTATTATTATGCTTTCAAACAACACCACCAAATTACATTTGCATAGTGCCTTTCACGTTGGGAGGCAACAGTGCTTCAGAAAAACACCCGAACCCAAGGCAGTGTAATCAAGGAATCATTGCTTGTGTGGCGCAGAAGCATACATGGGCCACTCACAAAGTGCTTCAGTTGTTGGCTGACTCGGGTGTCCATTGTTTGGTGAATCAATGAGATGCAATTACATGGTCAAAAGACTGTCCTGAAGTGTGAGTAACCCCTCTAGGTTTGGGTGCATAAGGTCTCTGATTTCACCCTTTGGAATTTCATCCCACATTCCCTCCGCCTCGCTCCCTCCCTTTCGTCCTTCAAGACCCTCCTCTTTGACCGTGCCTTCGGTCATCTTCCTACCCCTTGCCTCCCTGCCCTCCATCCCTCCTGATCCCAACCCACACCTTCAGGTCCAAATTCTTGCCTGGGATGCCTTGGGATGTCCTTCCAACGTGAAAGGCGCTGTGTAAATGTAATTTGTCGTTGTTTTTAATTGAATAAGTCTGTGGCCCCATGTGTGTGTTGGCTGTGATTAGGGTAACACAACAGTGACCAATCTATGTGTCATGCTGCAGAACCAACAAACTCGATCTGTCTGCAGCGCTCATTATCATTGACAGACTTAACGTTTTAATGTTTCGTCCTTTTCAGTCCCTGATATTTCTCTGAATTGCAGTGGGGTTAAATGTAGGCTTCAGCACTTACAGTTACTTTGAATGGTATCATCAAGGCCATGCATTTGGAAGACGCCAAGACCCCCGGGAGGCAACCTGTTCCGCAGCATTCTAGTGAAGAGCTGATCCAGCCTGTCTCGCGAATTGATCTCGAATGCCTGGACAAAAAAAATTGAACAATTAATCTATCTGCTTTGTTTCTAAGAAAATAATAACCATGGGAAAAATGGTTAAATTTCTTCCATACCCGTTCATAAAATCAGGAGAAGCTCGCATAAGAAGGCCTTTTGGCCCATTCATCTCAACTTTTTGTTCAAACATCACCCTATTGCAAACGACTTCTGCTCCAGTCCCCGCACCATCTCGTGCGGTGTCCCTCAGGGCTCTGTCCTCGGTCCCCTCCTCTTCACCCTCTACACGCTCCCCCTTGGTGACATCATCTGCAGACATGGGGTAAATTTCCACATGTATGCAGATGACACCCAACTCTACCTCTCTGCTTCCACCCTGAACTCCAGGACTAGTGGCGTCCTGACCGACTGCCTGTCCGACATCAAGTCCTGGATGAGGGACAACTTTCTCCAACTCAACGTCAACAAGACCGCCCTCCTGATTGGCTCGCGCCAGCGCCTCCGCACCTCGGGCGCTGGCAGCATCAGCCTTCATGGCTGCACACTCAACGTCACTAAGCTAGTCAGAAGCCTGGTTATCGTTTGACCCTGAACTGTCCTTTCCCCCCCGCATCCGCGCCATGACTGGCACTGCCTACCACCACCTCCGCAACATTGCCAGAATCCGCCACTGTCTCACCCCTCAGGCTGCCGAAACCCTCACCCATGCATTTGTCACATCAAGGCTCGATTATGGAAACTCCCTCCTCATCGGCCTTCCCAACTCTTCCCTTCACAAGCTGCAGATCATCCAAAACTCTGCAGCTCGTGTACTCTCATGCATCAGACTCCATGAAAACATCACTCCCATCCTCGCCAGACTCCACTGGTTCCCCATCCCCCAGAGGATCAAATTCAAGATCCTCGTCCACATTTTCAAGGCCATCCATGGTCTCTCTGACCTACTGACTCCCTACCAACCTGCCCGCTCCCTCCGTTCAGGGGGCTCCGGCCTGCTCCATGTCTCCCACCCTACCATTGGTGGCGGGGCTTTCAGCCTCTCTGCCCCCCCACTCTGGAACTCCATCCCACAGTCCCTTTGCCTCGCTTCCTCCCTTGCCTCCTTCAAGGCCGGTCTCAAGACCCTTCTCTTCGACCGTGCCTTTGATCTCCCTCCCACCTCTCTTCAGACCATCTGATCTCATCCCTCCAGAATGCTATCACAACATCAAATGAGTCTGGTGACCTAGCCACTACCACCTTTCCTAGCAACCTGTCCCAGTTGTTGATTGTCCTCTACATAAGAAAAGCTTCCTGTTATCTGTACTGAAATTGCCCTTTGCAACTCTAAACCTGTGTCCTCTTGTTCTACTGTTTTGATGGATCCTAATTATTGATTTGGGTTTATTTTTTCATTCCCATTTAAAATGTAATACACCTCTATGAGGTCCCCTCAAATCATCTTCTCATAAGAGTGAACAGCCCTAGCCTATCTAATCATACAGTCCAGACCCCTGAAGCATCCTGCTTAATACCTTCCCCCATTTTCTGTTGGCAAATAGCTGGGCGTGGGGTATAACTCATCTTTGGGGTACAACTTGTCGGCTTTCCTTTTGACCAGCAAAACAAATTCTTTCTTATACCAAACATTTGGAGGTTGGAAGTGGTCAGGTTTTCATTTAAAAAAATCCTTCCCACAAGTGCAGATTTCATTATGCTATATTACTGTCTTGGCACATTTCGATTTTCCCAAACACTTGTATGCTCTGACCCTATTGGCGAACAGGAGTGGAGCTCGGCAACATGCAACCAGCTCAGTGGATACCTCTTGGTTTCCACCCATTCCTGATATATTTAGACATGAAACTTGACCTTGGAGAGGGAGAGAGCATAGGGAGAGGGGGGAAGGGAAGGGGAGAAAGTGTGGGGGGGGAGAGAGGGTGAGGATGGGAGGAGAGAGGATGGGGTGGGAGGCGAAAGGAGACAGGCTGAATCAATCTGGTGGGGTTGAAAGTTAGAACTCTTCTGGTTCCAAATGTGGGTCCTTAACCGACTGATTAAACTTGGGCCATGAAAGAGCAATGGATCACAACAAGAATGAAGGTAAGACCGAGTGAGGGAGATCAACTGTTGAAGACATGGGTTGCATGTAAGATACAAATGGCAAATATAGTCTAGGAAGATTCAGTCACTACTCAGTAGAATATGTCCCATGCCCTGCTTTAAGACATTTCAACAATGTGATAAGGTATTCTACCAAATGCAATTATTAGGATTATTTTAAGATAGGTTCAGCAGGTATGACTGGGGAAAGAAGACAGCAAAAGGAGACAGCTAAAGGGAGAGGAATCTACCAGTGTATGGGCTGCGTTTACTGGCGGATCATCCTTTGCTACTCGTTGTCCCCTTCCCTCCCCTTGAGCTGTTTTGTTTCTCTGCTGAAAGTGGCATCCCACGATACTGTCAGCATGAACAGTACTTGTTGCACTTTATGACACTAAAGTAAAACCATTAACATATTTAACCTTTCTTCTTTAGAGATGACAAGTCACGTGTGCTGAGAAAGTCACGTTCCATTCTTTCTACAATGAATGTAGTTCTCTTCCAGTTATTTCTGGCACACTGTCATACATTATAAATTCATGGATTTAAGGACATTCCACAGCTCATTGTCCTTGGTTTCCTGTGATAGAAAAGCTCTTGGAATTACTCTAGATTTCTGATGAAAGTAGCTCAGCTGGATAGCAAAATAGACCATGATGGCATGGAGCAACTTCTTATCCAAAGTCATAATTAAGGTCAAACTGTGCTGTTTCTGTATTAATACAATGTACTATCATCAATAGACTTGTTCATTCTCCCTCTAAGTAATTTAATAGGAAATTTGCTAAAGTAAGAGATTTACTCCAGGCCTTCTGAAGCTCTGTGTTCAAATCTCTAGGCAATAAAAATGTGCATCTATAATTACTGCACTGGCCATTTTATACTAAAAATGTAATTCATGAAAATCTTTCTATTCCTATCCAATTCCTCACAAAGGGACAAGAGCACAAAGATTGCTGCTAGGTTTAAAGTGAGTTTAAACTGAACTAATTCATTCATCCAATTTAATGCATGCAATTGTTTGAAAAGGAATGGCAACTTGTTACATTAACAATTATAGGTATTTTAGCAGATTTACCCAATGGGGAAATGTGAGGTACATTTGATCCTCAGCATGGCTGACAGAGCAAGCTGCAACACTTAATAATAATAATAATCCTTATATTTGAAATAGCGCTTTTCACGTCTTCTAAATGTCCAAAAGCGCTTCACAGAACACACTGTAAAGTGAATTGACTGTATATTTGTGGGCGAACGCGGCAGCCAATTGCGCACAGCAATGTCCCACAAACAGTCGTAGATTGAAAATGACCAATTTATTATTGTTTTTGTTTTTTGGAGGGATTATTATTAGGCGTGTGGAGTAAGGAAACTTGCCCAAGTTTTCGCCCTGCCTGGAATTGAACTCAGGTCTCTAGCTTGCAAAGCGAGTGCTCAACCACTGAGCTACAGGACAACTTGTTCTTGTTGTTGTTGTCTAGGCTCATACAATAATAAAAATTGTTGGCCAGGACATTAGGAGAAATTCCCTTCTTTTTTTGAATAGTGTCATGGGATCTTTAACATTCATCTGAGCAGGTAGACGGGACCTCAGTTTAACTTCTCATCTGACTTGTATCTCTGGTAGTACAGTGCTCCCCCAGCACTGTACTGGAGTGTTAGCCTAAACAATGCTTCAAAGTCCTGATGCGAAGCTTGAACCAACAATTTCTAACTCAGAGGCAAGTTTATTACCATCCGAGCTGGGCTGGCACCAATAGTTAGATCAATTCCACTTTTAGGTTCCCAATGCTTTTGTTTCACTTTCAACATTCATCTGAACAGGCAGACAGGTCCTCTTTAACGTCTCATCTGCAGGATTAGCACCTCTGATGATGAGTGTCGGCCTAAATAATATGAGTTCAAGTCACAACATGGGGCTTGAACGCATAATCTTTTAACTCAGAGGCAAAAGTGCTACCAACTCAGCCAGGCTGACACACCAATGCATGAGGTACCAGAGGGCTTCACATCAGGACTTTGAGCCATTGTGGAGTCCTGTAGCTCAGTGGTTAGAGCACTCGCTTTGCAAGCGAGAGACCTGAGTTCAATTCCAGGCAGGGCGAAACCTTGGGCAAGTTTCCTTACTCCACACGCCTAATAATAATCCCTCCAAAAAACAAAAACAATAATAAATTGGTCATTTTCAATCTACGACTGTTTGTGGGACATTGCTGTGCGCAATTGGCTGCCGCGTTCGCCCACAAATATACTGTCAATTCACTTTACAGTGTGTTTTGTGAAGCTCTTTGGGACGTCCTCCTGACGTGAAAAGCGCTATCTCAAATACAAGGATTGTTATTATTATTATTATTGTGTCAGCTAACACTCCTGCACCTGTGGCACTATATTGCAGCAAGTTGGCACTCTCAGGAGAAGACAGAAAGTTGGAAGAAAGACCTAGTTTGCTGATAGCTTACAACTTGAAACTGGAAGTGGATATATTATATTTAATAAAAGCAGTGAGCTCTGAATCATCCCTCAAAGTAAAATGTGCAAGATGTGAACTGAGATTGAGACCAAGAGGGTTCTTAAAGCACCAGTAAAAATAAAGTTATTAAACTTTTCTGTAATCACCGGTTGGCAACGTTTTTGCATTTCAATAGTTAAAAAAGTATTTTGAAATCTTTAGCTGGGCCATTTATTTGCGTTACAAGTTGTTTATTTCTCCAAGAACTAGATCAGAACCACATTCTGGCACTAGGTATAATGGGAGCATTACTGCACTTTTTGGCAGGGATATGTAGTACTGATTGCACATAGCACTGACTCCTGACTCTATAGCTGACTCCTGAACTAATAAAACAAGTGTGATAGTCTGAAGATTACTTCATAAATGATACAGTAGATCTGCATGGTCTTGACTGTCTGGAACTGCCACCAGTGCTCCAGGACACATCCTAAGG